TGTTCATATATCTAAAATAAATTACTTTATTTTGAGAGATCTGTTCAGGTCACAAGTTTTCATTTTTCTCATTCATGATCAGAGTAATGTCTTATCATTTCTTGAGATTTCATAACGTAAAGATCTTTGCGTAAGATATGACTTTGTGAGATTAAGCTGGTATTAATTTCATATAGTAAGTTCTTACAAATGAGTCGGAGCAAGGCTTTGGGCATGTTTTTTATGAGAGTATAACATTATAACATGAAACTCAAAAAAGTTGATTTTACATGATATTGTCCCTTTAAGACACGAGCAATTCATGAGCTGTGCTCAGACTAGCCGTTAGCTCATCCATTACACCAAAATTAAACTGTTTTCTTTAAACTGAAGAGCCATCTATAAGACGTAACATAACCAAACACCTTTATCTAAAGGAAAATTGATGTGGAATTTAAAATATCCAAACAAATCTGTCTAAAACATTTATCATCTTTTCACATGAATCATAAAAAAGAGAAAAACTCCACCAGAGAAAAACATTTTAATCAAAGTGTAAAAAAAATTTAGGAAACAAAAAAACAAAGCAAAGACAATTTTCTTTAAGTCCCAGACATTGTCGACAAATTGCATTTATACCTTTAAAATAATACAGAAACGCATTTCCATGAGGTCAACACTTGGCTCAGACTTTCTGAAATAGTCTTAACACAGCATTTCACCATTGACCTATTTCATTAGAGAAACACCTTAAACATCTGAGGTCATTTATAACCTTTAATGTTGGTGAAAACACCCAGCCGAGGATTTGACTGCTTCTAATAATCTGTGGATATTCACATTTACAAAAGTATTTAGCTAATAAATAATTTATATCAACTTACTTTTTTTCATTTTTTAATGGGATGTTTGTAGGACTTCATTTTAAAGTCAAAGAAATGAAACTCAGTTTGTGGGTAAACCGTACCATCGACTCCGTCTGTGTCTCGTGACATTTCTGAACATGATGGGTGAAAAAAGGACTGGATCCAGGTAAAATCACCCCCAGGGAAAGGTGTCAGTGGGACAGACTATATTTATTTTTTTATAGTGTTACTGGAAATAGGTGAGCTTGTGATTATAGATACTGAGAACAACTGCTTTATTTTCATGTTGAAACTCAATTAAAATCCAACATTTTTTGGAAAATCACAAGTAGTGCCAATAACAGCAGTAAACTGAGCAACAAACAAAAAGTAATGCTGAAAAAAACACACACACACACACACACACAAAAAAACAAACAAAAACAAACAAAAAAAAAAACGCAAGAGACAATAGCTTTAAGACAAACAGGAAAGATTTTTTTACTCAGACCACAAGGACATAATGATGCAAAGAAAAAAATTCAATGTAAAAAAAGTGCAAAATGTTTCGAACCAAAGAAGCAAACTTTAGTTGGTACGGAGGTGTGTGCTCACAATCACCAAAACTGTCTGAAGATAGTGCAGCTATTTTTAAAAGGGTCTGTGTAAATTTTATGAACAGTCAATATCTTACTTGTGGCTCTCTGAATGACCTCATTTATTTCTGACAGAACTGATCAGATAATGACTAGCTAAAACAGGACCAAGACCCAAGTTGACTGCAGTCATCATAACGTGGTCCAATCTCAGAAAATTTCATGCAAACACCATTTTACAAACTTTTACACTGCCATCAATTTTGCATTACAATTTATTTACAGAGTTCTGTGGTGAAATTCAAGCGCACATAGCGACAGCTGCTAGCTGTAGCACTTCTGGTGCAGCCAGGAAGTGAGATTTCTACTAGGATAATTTCTTCGTTGATGGCAAAGAAAAAAATTAAATGAGAGCGTTTGTATATCATTCTGAAATTGTGGAGTTTGGAGCTATTTTCAGGTGGCAGAGATTCTCTTTCGTTTTGGGCTCTCTGACTTGTCATTAGCTCATCAGTTTTGTCACAGTTAAACTGAGTTTCTCCAAAATGAAGGGATTCAAAAAGCTATTTACAACAGGTTGGACAATTGTTTACCTTTTCACTAATCCACCAGAATATGTCTTAATGGTTTTTGTGAAGCAATCGATTTCATCCTTAACAGTTTGGTGAAAATCGTGCATTATTTTAATGTCAGTTCTATCCGCTTTGTATTTATTTTAGCTTTTTCACCCTCCCTTGCTTACAGAGGCTTCAATGGACTAATATGTTCAGGATATTTGAGTCTCAAGTTTTAAAGAAATGTTTTTTAATAAGAAAATCTCTTTTTACCTTTTTAGCATCCAATGAAATGATAAATAACTAAAGCTACACAGTGAAAAATCTTTGTGGTGTACAACGGAAAAATATTTGATTAAATAAATCTTTTCTGATCAGTATTTTGTTTGAGTTAAAAGAGCTCAGTAGAGGTAGTCAAAGACCCAACATAAAGGCAAGAGAATACGTTTTTGATGCTAAGTTGTTTTATCAGACTAATCAGAGACACTCCAGTGATTCTTTGAAAACGTCACTGTATCCATTTTTCAAAGTGGACAGAAATGTATTGATATTTCCGGGGGAATTACGGTTTGTAAAATATTACATGAGAAAAGTGATGCAAGCTGAAGCTACAGACACCCTGGTTTATCTTAACATTATGCTCAGTCACCGACCTTTCTTTAAGTGTATAAATGATCATTTTCAGCATTTATTGAAGCCACGCCCACATTTCTTTCTCTTGGCTTGACCTTATGTACACCAGCAAGTGAGGGATGAGGATGATTTAAAGACAAGTTCAAGGCATTTAATTCACATTAACTAACAATGTTTAAAGATGTGGTCCTAAAATATTTTTTGGTGTCTATTGTCTCCAGCGTCTTTCAAAGATAGTGAGCAAGTTGACCACATGGTGGAAAGGTTTCAAGTATCCCACAAGATGTGACTTCAACCTTCATGTGGAGGAATCTTAAAAAAAAAAAAAAGCTCAGCAAGAACTCTCCGTGTCAGAGGCACAATCCAGGAATTATACCGGGTCCACAAAGAGTTAGACTCCCCGATCAGAACTATGTCCTGCAATGCTTCCTTCTGGTAATTTTGGCAGGAACACGATGACAGTGGTTTAACTGCTGTGGTTCAGAGCCTTAAAAAGAGCCAGGACTTACTGACCACATCTGAATATGTCAATGAGCTGCTTCACTTTATCATCCAGGTGGGGTCCTGTCACAGGTTGGAGGCCTCAGATGGATTGTAGGGTCCATTCATCTGAGATGGAAAAGAAAAAAAAAACAATTCAATAGAACAGATTCAGGGTTCATGCAGGTTTCAGTAAGTTAATTTTAAGACTTTTTAAAAACCTTTTAAGACCATTATGACTGACGTTTAAGAGCAAACCGACACATTAACAGAAACACTCAAAATGGTCCCTGAAATTTTACCATAGAAACCTTTAATTGTTATCAATTTCGTTGTTAAAAAATATTTAAATTTTAATTCAAGAACCTTTAATTATTTTAATGAATCGGTCATATCTATGAGACCTTCATACCGACTAGATCGCTTTCAACTGAGTGCAAAAATCACTGATATCAGCCAAGTCTCATTGAAAACACACTTTCCCATGTTTAAACAACAAGCAGCGGACATGACTGAACTTTGTTTTTGTTTTTTTGGGCAGGTGAACAAGCAGCTGTATGTGGGAGGTTGTAGCGGCAAAGAGGTCGAAAATCTGGAAGCAAACTGTGCCATTCTTTGCCTGCAGTTATCATGGGATTTGTAGTTTAACACGTACAAAGACCAGTAGCAAACTTTGCACTTCATGAAGACAGATCAAGTCAACCTCTGATTACAGCTCTTTACTGTGTTTATTTATGCAGCCAACACTTCTCAGGAATGATGAAAAGTAAAAAATGTAAGACTTAACAAAATAAAATTTAAGACCTTGGATGAAAATCTGGGTGTTTTTAAGAGTGTTTTTAGGCCTAAAATTTAGATTTTCAGACTTTTTTAGACTTTTTAAGACCCGGCACGAACCCTGAGATTACACATTTTAACTCAAACTGGTACTGCAACGGACTATTGAGAAAGTGACTTTGTTTCACAATGAATATTGAAGTATTTCCAGGATCAACAACTACCAGGTGCAAAAAAAAGTCACTAGTACTCACACTTAACACCATGGAATTTTTTTGCTATATATTCCCTTTGATAAAGTCTACTAAAAAAGGTTTTTCCTCCAATGAACTTTTGTTCATTTGTCAAAAACAAATGAAAAAAACAAATGAACAAAAGTTTGGTGTTCCTATTAGCTTCAGATTTACCAGACTCTGATGGGACCAAAGGAAAGGTTTAGGAAAAACTCTATGGAATAGAACAGCTAGCACAAAAACTGTACCACCAGAGCAGTTAACCATAAAGAACATTTGACTAGGGCCAGGCGATTATTTGATCGTGATTACTGACCGAGAAAATTTTCAGGTCAAATACGGTGATCAGCTGTGAGTCTCTTTACTCAATCAAACATGGTGGAAATGTGCGTCAGCCAATCAGAATCCACCTTCTTCTATTCCACTTCCATTTATAGGTTTCTAAGGAAACAGGGATGGAATCGCAGAATTGACCAAACAAAATGTAATCCAGTAGAATTAGCTTATTTGTGCAGATTTCTGAGGTATTTTGGCTGCTGCTGCTCCCTGTACCTGCCGTTACCTGCTAACAGGCATGCAGGTGAGCTCCGCTCCTGACAGAGAGAGAGAGGGGAAAGTCACCAGCGACATACGGCAAACAGACTCCAAAACTGTGAAGCGGTCTTATGGTAACATTTAGGACAGGACAATGTGCCAGCAGTTTTTTATTCATCTTGAGAATAACTTTTCTGTCAGTTCTGTCAGCACATGATTGGCTGGACACGTAAGAAAACGTGAAGACCACTTCCTGTCTGAGTTGCATCACAAACAGCGAGCTGAGAGAGATACTGCCTCCTGAACAAGTGAGGTGGGAGTTTATCCAAGGTTTTGTTTTACGTGCAGAATCAGATTTTCCTTTAGAAATAGTGAAACAGTTTTGTTCGTTGATTGATAAAGCACCGTAAACATGAGGGGGTGCGGGGTTCCTTCAAAACAAAAGTAAATAATGAACAAAAAGAAAGTAAACTAGAGAAATTGCATTTCCTGCGAAAATGCTAGTGTGAATGCCTGTTGCTGAAGAAGCTGAAATTGAGCTGAACATGTATAATAGCAAAAGTATTATTGTAAGTCAAGCTTGAAAAGCTGAAAAAAGCAAATAAAAAGCCTAAAAACAATAAAAAGGAGCAAAAACTATAGTTGAATTAGCATAAAAAGCTAAAAGCTAAAGCCGAAAATAGCTGAACATAGCGGAAAGCAACCGTAAGAAGCATAAATAACTCAAATTAGTAGAAAGAACAAAAAAGGAAAAAAAAGCAGAATAGTAGAAGGAGGAAGACATTTTGCTGAAATATCTGAAAAAAAGCTAAAATTTGTAATAAAAAAAAAGCTAAAGTTGTCATAAAGACTTTAAAAGGAGCAAAACCAGAATATAATGTGTAAGGTTCTGTAAATATTTAGAAATATTATGAAGAAATTTAAGGATGCTTAATAAAGCTCCATTCATTTCCAATAGGGAAAAAAGTAGCCAAAAGCTACAATTGTTGAATTTTCTTGAGGCTTCAATATGTTATAGAGCTTGCTCTCAGCTACCAGTACATACGTTTTCATGTCAAAACCTCAAACAATGGCTGAGTAAAAAGCCTTTAAAACTAGCTTCGGCAGCCTTCTTGGATGTTTTTTCGGCTGATATTTATGATCGAGCTAAATCTCAGGTATATACACTCACCGGCCACTTTATTAGGTACACCTGTCCAACTGCTCGTTAACACTTAATTTCTAATCAGCCAACCACATGGCGGCAACTCAGTGCATTTAG